GGGGAAAAGGATGAATTTAGAGTTAGAATGTCAACAAGTTACACAAGGATGGATTCTCTGTGCAGACCAAAAGACCTGGTGTAAAAGACTTGGTTGCTGCTTGGAATAGTTTGAGTAATCTTGACAAAGTGAATTTTACTAGTTGAGAAAAAGCAAGTTCCTCAATAAAAGGAAGAAAAGATACGAGGGAGGCAATCTCCTCATTATGTTTCTTTTACTTAAAAAAAAAAAATTCTAAAAGATCATAAAGGGGGCAATCTCCTCATGTTTCTGGCTGGCGTGACAATTGCTTAGCTCTAATTTCTCATTCCCTTTACATACAAATGGTTGAAGTTGTTCATGACAATGAAGGATCCATGTGTGTTGAAAGATTGGTCCTAAAAAGAATTATCCAAGAGTTCGTTCACCTATTCTCACTAGAGCTCTTGCAAGGAAGATGGTTGACGAAGCTAATTTAGAGAAGGTCGCTTTAGAAAATCGTGTTGAAAGTATGGAAAATACTTTGAAGGAATTGATGGCTTCCTTCCAATCTTTTCAAGCAACCTTAGTCACAAGGGCACTTTTGACAACAAATCCCTTGTTTGAAGGAAATGTTTCAGTGGCAAATCTCCCTATCACCATATCTACTCTTGGAAAGGAGCCAATGTCATCTTGCCCGCCAAATCCAACTATTGGTGGAACTTTTGGGACAAAGCCATTTGTTCTAAATGCTGGTGTTACTACAGTTCAGTCTAATGATCAAGAAGGGACTCAAGTTGTCAAGTCAATCACAGAGGATGAAGACAAGGCAATTAAAGCGAAGGTGTAGTTGATGGAGGAAACACTAAAATCAATGCAAGGTGTCCAAACCAATAAACCGGTTGACATCTCATCTTTGTGCTTTTTCCCAAACATTCAATTGCCCTACAAGTTTAAATTGCCTGAGTTTGATAAGTATGATGACACTGGTTGTCCTTATGCCCACTCGACGATGTATTGTGAAGGATGGAATCAAGTCTAGAATTATCATGGATTATCAAGCAATGAAGAGTCTCCTTGAACAATACCAAAATGATAGTTCAGGGGTTTCTAGTTCAAAGAAGGAGAATGAGAATAGCACTATAAGTTCAGTTTATGAGGCGCATAATCAGTCACGGGGGCAGTTCAACAATCGGTTCCAAGCTCCAACTTATCAATCAACCTCTTTCACAAGTCAATCAAGGCCCATTTATGCCTCTGGAACAAGTCGTCCACAACAAGAGAAAAAGAGACACTATTTTGATAAACTTCCAATGTCATATACTGAAGTGTTTCGACAGTTAATAGCAGCTAGGCTTGTTACCCCTGTACCTATGGTGCCATTAAATCCACCATTTCCAATATGGTATAACCCACAAGCAAGATGTGAATACCATAGTGGAGGTGTTGGGCATGACCTTGAAAATTGTCTTGCTTTAAAGCACCGTGTCCAAGATCTAATAGATGCAAAGGAGTTACAAATTACATCAGAACCTGAGGTTGTTGGTCCAAATGTCATTAAAAACCCTTTACCCACACATGATGGTCCAACAGTTAATATGATCGAGAAAGACTCCAATAAAGGTCATGAGGTTATTACATCAACATATAATGATGGTTTGAGCGCTTCTTTTGAGAAGTTGAGCATATGTGTCATTGATGAAGCAAAGGGTGATGACAAGCTTATTCTGCCCACTCATGGTGAAGCTTTAGACAACAAGATAGTGGAGATTCTTCCTGTTCCTATCATTAAATCGTAAGATGTGTCAATCTTCTTGTGGTTGAGCTTGTGACCATGAGAAGAGATGGTTAAAACAAGCCTTTTATATTTTATGAAGCATTGTAGGCATGACAAATAATGTTCCATTCAGTCCATTTCAATCAATGATGTTACTTTCATTTTCATTCCCTCTCTTCATATGCAAGATTATTCATTCAAATTTCTCATGCTAGCCAAAATTTCCATCTCCAAGTTTGCTGATAATAAATCCACAAATAGTGATATCATTCTTGAACTTACACATAGTTTTGATGAACTGATTTATTCTATGGAAGATGATGAAGAATTAGAACCTTTTCTTGAATTAACTGACATGTTGAGAGAAGAAGAACCTAAATTCCAGCCTAATCAAAATGGCTACAACATAAAATGGGGAGGTCAGGCCTCGAAGGTTTCAAGAAAGAGATGTTGTTTTGAAGGAAAAGATGAAGGTTTGAAGGAAAAGATGTTTTGAAGAAAATTCTACCTAATGAGAAGGATCCAAGGGGAAATTTTGCTCCAAATTACAACGGTCTTTACATC